GTGTGAAAAAGAAAAGGTTAATTTGATCACTGGAAAGGGGGAAGGGAAGAAGGAGGAACCACCTGTGTTAGCCTTCATGTTTTTCTTTAGAAATTTACATTTGTGACTGTATTAAGGCCCATAGAGATGAGTTAGTTCAAAGCAAAGCATTTCTTACTTAATAGGAACAGTCAAACTTGAAAACATTCTGGCTTCTTCTTTGGCCCCATTTTGTGGTACTTTCAGCAGCAAGCTATTTCCCGCTAGAAGCCTGCAGCCTGCCCTGGGTAGCTCTAGAGTTAATAGAGACAGTGTCTCGATAATGGTAAATGACCTGAACAACCCAGGGAGGGGTGAGAGCTTCAGCCTCCTCAGCCACAGTTGGCACAACTGCTCCTGGCCCTTTATTCATTCATTAAGTTGGTCTCCTTTGCTTTGCTAGTGTGCTTCCTGCTGAGAATAATTAGGTTTCTTATATAATAATAATTCCTGGTATTTAGATGCAACCTTCTTCTAAGGATCTCTCAGACATTAGCTCATCTGTTCTTCTAACATAATTGCCTCATGAGGTAGGTGCTAATTATTCCCATTATAGAGACCAAACTACTAAGGCTTGTCCCTGCTTTCTCTCCTCCCCTTAACCCCCCACCCCCCAGGTAACACAAAATCTGTGGAACAGCAGAGAGTCAAATTAAGGTCACCCGATTCCTTACTGTCCTGCCCTCCACTGGTCTGAGGTGTAAGGACAGATGAACTCTGTAGACTGCGTTTCCTACATTCATGAGCCTCATTAACATTGGGCCATTAGCAGGCTGTCTAGTCCTTTACTAAAGCTAACACTCTTGCACTGTGACTGTAGTGAAGACGCAGAGCATCACTTCACCCTTTCTGCAGCACAGAGTGTTATTGGCCTTATCTAACAGTTAAGTATCTGTCAAAAGTAAAAGCAGGTGAGTTAGACTTTGATTAGTATGATTTCAGCAGCCCCTCCTGCCAGATGTGCTCTGCATCACTTAGAGTACTTGAATGTGGCATGAAATTGTACACTCGTGTTAGTTTCCAGTACTCACTAGTATTAATCTGCATCAACTACATCTTGTATTAATCTGCTTCTGCCTATTTCCACTCGGCTCTGTACCTCTTTCTTTCCCTACCACCTCACAGTACTTGTCACACAGCATTTGCTCAGTAGCGACTAACCTGGCCACCAACAAGTAGAAAGCCATTTGCTTGTCAGCTCTTAACATTTTGAAGTCACATCAGAAACAGCTCATGAGTCAAAGATGTCATTACAGTTCCTTTTGCAGTTAATATCTACTTTCCTGTCCTGATAACAGTTCCAGAATGCTTTGATCTTTTTTCTTATCTCTTTTCTTATATTCTTACCTTTTATCTATTCCATTTAAGGTAGTCCATTACAAAGATCCAGTACACTAAAACCACTATTTTTAAAGGCCAAAACAAAAATGGTTTTGGGGTGAATCCGTCTATATTTAGAAATACTTTTTAAGAAAACTAAATGATTCATAAGGTCAACGGACTTTTTGCTGAGCAAACCTATTCTTCCATGATTTCTGTATTGCTCTGTAAAGGCATGAAAATAGAAACAGCAAGTTGGCATAGGAGCCCACAGCATCTGCCCTGTGACCCTGAGTTGATCAGCATCCACTTGAAGCTTCTTAGGACTCCCTGAATTCTATGTCTTTATGTCTTGAAGTTTGGATTGGTGGTGATGATTCTGTTTGCAGGGTATCTGCAGGACCTTTTCATTCTAAATTTCCCAGATGTCATTCTTCCTTACTACCAATTTGTATTTGTTAAAAGTTCTGTAGTTTAGACTGTGGTCTCATTCCCAGTTGGTACCCGTGAGTGCATTAAATGTTCCAGGGCATGTTAAATTGGTGTATTTGCATTCTACTGCCAGGAGGCTGTGCTAAACAGTGGGGTTGAGACACCAGCAAGGGCTGAAATTTTATTTTAAAATCTGAAATGCTGTGTAAGCATTTAAGGTATGAGTGGGTAATTGTCTCCCAACAGCTCCCATTAGATATGGTTCATTTGTAGTCCATCCTCTTTCCAGGGATCCAGGGGAGTGTTAACACACAAGTGTACTGCATATCATTTACATTTTTAAGCCAGTGCTAAAGGAAACTTCCATAATTCTCAAGAGTTCTTAATACTAGGATGGATTTTATACTCTGTCCCTGGAGAAAGCAGTTTTAATTTTTCACTGGAAAATAAGAAACCTTCCCACTTTGATGAAGTATTTGAATACTTCTGAAACAGAGAAATACCTTTTTTTAAAAAGAACAGTCTAGTTCTAAGATTGAGAACTCTCTTTTTACTCCTAATGAATTCTGTCAAACGCAAACTTTTAAAAATCATCTGTCTAACTTAAGATTCGAGGTCATCAAATTCTGTCTAAATATTTTGTTTTAACTTCTAAGCTCATTATGGCCTCTTTGTGTTAACTTGTATTAAAATCTGTCAGCTATGACTGGTCTCATAAGCACAGTCAGCGGACCAGAATAAGTTAATTATTTACTTGTGTCACTAGTGCTCTTCATCTAATGAAATGCACAGCTGTGTTAGATCTGCAGTTGGATGTGTAGCTTCCATTGTTCCACAAGTCAGCAGAGGGTAGAAGCCGCAATGATGGAGAGCCCTCAGTTCTTTCTGCTGTTCTGGCTTTCTGTGTCGATTTCATGGATCTTTTATCATTCACTTTCACACAAAACAAACAACACAGGGCTGTCTGCTATGGGAACCATCTTGGCATATAAAAGGGTTTTCAGAGCCTAAAGTAATTTTAAGTTAGCGAAGATTTAATTTTTGGCTTACAGGTGCCCTTGGTTCAGATATAGCCATTCCTAGAATGGAATAAAAAAAAATTGAAAGCTACTTATGTGTATTTTTGTTTTATAAAGGGTCAGAAAAGGGCAGATAAGAAAACAACTTCCCAGAAAGGAAACTCTGCCCTAAATATTAACCAGATTTTAAGCATTTCTGAAATGAAATGAAAGCATTTCTTTCATTTTAATAATATAATGAAGTTCAATTTGCTGATTAAATGTGTCAACTAAAACTGAAAATACAGAGTGCAAGTCGTCCTTCCTCCCCCAGTCCACGTACTGAGGCTTGCTTCTTCAGTCAGTCTCTGGACCTCCTGTCCCTCACTCCCACCTTCTCTCTTTGGAGGGCGGACGGGCAGCCTCCTGAGCTGACGCCAGCATCCTCCTGTGAACTGCTGCTGCTGGGGTACTGGGTTTTTTCTTTGGTTTTGTTTTTCAGAGGTATAGCTAAACCCTCCCATCTCTTTACCAGCCAAAATTGCCTTCTCACCCAGGCATCCCAGGATCCCTCTTAGGAATTGTTGTTTTCAACATTTTGTTCACTGCTAAACAATGTTGTTGTCGGTGCACCTAGATTTACAATTTGATCTCTTTCAAAGAAGATTTCTCAGTAGCCCTAGGGTTTTGTCAAATAATTTCAGTGTGGAGAAGATGGAGTTTTGGAGGGAAGACAAAAGGGTCACACACTGTGCTTGATGTAAATTCTAACACATTGGAGCTAAATTTGAAATAAAGTGAGTTGAATATTGTTTCTTTTCTCCATGTAGGAAAGCATGCATTCTTGTAATGAACAAAAACATTGGCCAAAAAGCCAATTAAAGTAACTGCACGCTGTAGAATTAAACTCTACAAGCCTAATTATCATCTTGTTGGCAGCCACAAAAAGTCAGAATATTAATAACCAATATTAAATAGGCAGATGGCATTCTTTCCCTTTAGACCTCAGTTCTTCATGACTATAAAAATGATAAAGATTTCATTTTAAAGTAGTCAGAGAGGCTAGGGATATAGCTCAGTGGTAGAGCACTTACTTAGCACGTGCAATTCTCTGGGTTTGATTCCCTAGCACCAGAAAGAAAAAATAAAAATGAATAAAGTAGTTTGAACAATTACGTAGAAGTCAAACTGAGGAATGAAAAATTTGAGAGCAGTTTTTTAGTAAGTGCAACTGCTTCTAACTCCACACATAAGGGAAAGGAATTTTCTCTTACTGTATAAGCATTTTTTCCTTAGTTCAGTGCCGTGGTACACTAGTTTTGTATTTTGAAATTATGTAGATGGTGGGTGTCAACCTAAATTGCACCCCTCTTCCTCCTCCTAAGAAAATTAAGCCAGAAGAATTAAAAACTATTTAGCAACAAAATCTCCCACAGCTTAGAAAAACTTGAAGGGGTAGAAATGTACAGTGGATTTAAGAGAATCTCAGTATTGTGTAAAGTTGATAAGTTTTTGTCTTACTTTGTTTTAATCTTATTAATTCTAGCTTTCTCTCCAAGAATGATTGGCATTTAATTTTCTTATTGATCTTTACAGTCAAAGATCATTTTTAATGTGCCATAAGCTATAGGAATTTAAATTCCTTAAGGCAGTTTAAGGTTCAGCCTGAGAAGCCCTGTCAAGAACCAGAAATCCAGCCTGTGCTTTGCAGCCAACAGGTAGCCTTGTTAGCCCATCATCCACACACGAGTACTTCTTGTCAGTTTTTTAAAACCACATTTTACATATACCTGTTCAGTCAGTTCTGTGTTCAGAGGTCAGAGAATTTGGATTGCTAAGATTTGGGTGCAGAAACCAGCAGATCATGAACTAGCTGAGGAGGAGCAAAATTTCTGCCAGCTTGAAGTTCAGGAACGTTGGCGGGCCCAGGACAGCCACCGCTCTCTGGTCTTGGTGGCACCGGAGGGTGGGCAAGCAGCCTGACAGCACCATTGTGTGTTGTGCCAGCAGGACAGTCTGCAGACTGCAGTGCTTTTCTGCCAGGAGAGTCGCTTATTGAACTGTTTGTTTCTTAGAGTTGCTGGAAATTGCTTTTGTTACTCTCGGTAGAGCCCATGGTGAAGGTTTTAGAAGAGTGGAAATAGAGATAGCAGCAGGGAGATCCCAATTAAGTCCTGTATACTTCCTCTCTGCCCATTTGCTTTACATGCCATGAAATCTTTTCTCTCCCAGGTGTCTGTGGCTTGATCGTCCCCCAGGAAGATATGCCATTCTGTGATTCTGGCATCTGTCCGGACATCATAATGAACCCACATGGCTTCCCCTCGAGAATGACGGTCAGTTACCTTGAAGCTTTTCAGAGGCACCACTTTGAAAGAAAAAAGCAGGCAGTTTAGTGACAGTGAGTGGAAGTGATGGGATCCTGAAGGTGGTTTCTTGAAAGAGCCCTGTGACCCTTCCTGCCTGATAGGATTCTAGTCCCTGTCACTTCTGGGCCACTCTCCTCTGCAAAGAATGAGGAGCACATCTGCACTTCAGAGTCTTCTGAGTGGAGAATTTGGCCCTCAGCAAAGAGAACCCATGTGCTGATCCTACCTTGGTCTCCCTTTCTGTGGTCACTCTGTAATCCTGGCTCTACCTCTACCGGCTATGTGGCTTTGGACAAGTTGCCTAACCTCTGTACATGCTTCCTCATCTGGAAACAGGAAATAACAGTAGGGGTTTGAGAGATAGTAACTTAGATCACACATGTCAAGCTTCTTCAAAGGATCCTGTCTCACAGCAAGAAATTAACAAATACTACTGTTCATTTATCACTATGTTAATCATGGTAGTTGAAACTGCCTTTGGGGAGAATAAGCTAGAGATAAATAAGCAAAGAGAAGTCCTGTGCCACGAGGAGAACTTATTTAATTTGTTCACTTCCCACAGGTGGGAAAGCTAATTGAGCTGCTGGCTGGCAAGGCAGGTGTGTTAGACGGCAGGTTCCACTATGGCACCGCATTTGGAGGAAGTAAAGTGAAAGATGTGTGTGAGGACCTCGTTCGCCATGGTTATAACTACTTGGGGAAAGACTATGTCACATCAGGCATTACAGGGTGAGTGCGCTATTGAGCCATTAAAAAAAAAAAAAAAAAGGAATGGTTGTGTTAGGATATGGGGTAAGAGCCCTCAAGAAATACACTTGAAGGTATAAGCTTCCAGGACTGTACCTTAAGCCTTAGAAGTAAGGCTCTACTGTCTTAAGAAATCTGATACAATAAAATCAAAATTTAGAAAACTGATAAACTGAGGAGGGCTTCTGTATTGGTAAGGCTATAATTTTAAAAGTAGAAGAGATTTATTTTAAAAGAATATGGTATCTACTTTATGGAACACATTAATTGTATACAAACGGTTTCCTTAACTGTTGAATTTCCTCTGCATTTATATGATGAAAATCAGATGACCACTGTTTTGACACATAACCTGAGGCCTAATATTTGCACTTGTTCAATAAAGTTGTGTTAAGTACCTAATAGGTGTCAGGCACTAAGTGTATAGCAGTAAACAAAATCAGACATGGTTCCTCTAGAGCTAACTGTTTACATTTGTTACTAGCCATTAAAGAATAATAGGCATAAGGTAGCTTTTCTGCAGGGCCTACCCTCACTAACTAATTTAAAGTGGGTTTTTGTTCTTTGTTTCTCTCCCTCTCCCTCTCCCTCCCTCCCTCCTTTTTTTTTGCTATGCTGGGAACAAACCCAGGGCCTTACACATACTAGGCAAGCCCACTACCATTGAGCTACATCCCAGCCCAGTGACTACCTAATTTAAAACTACAACCTAGTACTGTCCACTTTCTGTTTCATTGTTCTCCATCACGCCTGTCATTATCAGATATACTCTATAATAATGCTTTATAATACTGTTTTCTCTCCCCAGCTACAGTGTAACCTCCATGAGAGCATGACTCCTGTGCTAGGTTTACTGTTCTAGTTCCAGTGCTAGCATAGGGCCTGACACTCAGCAGGTGTTCCAGAAATGCTTATTGAGTAAAGAAATGCAGGCAAATCAATCCAGATACAAATAGCTCTCACCAGGTGAAGACAAAGGCAAGGTTAGAAGATCCTGTGAGGAGATTGGTAGTTAAACTGAGACAGAAGGATGAGGAGGATAGGCCACTTGGAGTGTTTGATGTAGAGGAAAATATGTTTAACACTTACCAGGTAAGTTCTGAGAACTAGAGGAGGCCAACTCAACTGCCATGCTGTGAGGAGGCAGCATGGAAGCCTGAGGTGAGGTTGGAGAAGAGAAAGAACCAGGTCAAACAGGCAGAGTAAGGGATCACCCTATCCACCTGAGACAGAGACTCCTGCAATTACTGTGAATGGTAAGGTTTTAAAAACATGGCTCATACAGTGTTTTAAATACCAATCCATTCCTTAGCTTAAGAGACACTTAACGTACTTTGTGCCAGATAAGCCTGGGTCATAGAGCTCTTACTGTTCTTCTGGAGTTGTCAGCTGTTTAAATGCAAGTGGAACTCAGCTGGAAGCATGTGTGAGGCTACAGAATTCAGCTGTAGCACTGCAAAGAGATTCTCAGATACAATTATGGCTCAAATCTGTACCTATTAAAAATATGGAGCACTTTTTCAAATGATCTAGCCAGACTGTGACAATATGGATTTCTTTAAGTGCATCATACTTGAGATGTTAGAGAAAATCTCATTTCAGGTAAAGGCTAATGGTCTGTTTCAAAAAACACACTTGGTCATCTTAGTATCCACCCAGAAATAATGCAGTTGACCAGAAGTGTCCAAAACCACAGGATTTTGTTGGAGCTTCTGAATGTAATTGTTTTAAAAGTTGAGGATGGATTGTCTCCTGCCTGCTGTGGACAGCCACAGTGTACAGACCCTTAATTCAAAATTCCACAGAGGTCCCACCAACATGTCTGCCTACTGGCTTTCATCTTTGTTCTGGAAATAGCTAGGAGCAGAAATTGCATATGGTTTTCCTCTGGATGATGGGATAGCTTTGGGTAACAGAGTTCCATAGATTCTACCATGAGCAACTATGTAATTGAGAACTAGAATCATTCATTAGTAGAACTGGAAAGACCCTTGGGCTGATTGCGCACCTTGATGTGCATCCAGGAAACAAGTTGTGCAGTGTGTGTGGCAGACTGGGACAAGATCAGGGTCTCTCATGTCCTCTGCACTGTGCCTTCTACTCAGCTCTATGACTCCTCAGGATCAGCTTGTGCCAAAGGACTGGATAACTGCAGAAGCCTTGCTAGCAATGCAGACCTGGGGAAGTGGGCCACGAAAGTAGGGCCATAGCCTGCAGTTGCCTCTCCACTGTCTCTCGATGTCTCTCTGCTGTGTCTCTCGCTGTCTCTGCTCTATCTCTGGCCTCCTTTGCTCTTCCACTGGGCACCATGTTGTGACTCAGAATGGGCTTGTTGTCAAGGGAGCTGGTATGCAGTCAGGAGCACTGGACCTGAGTAAGTCTGCACAGCCCACCAGCTCTTCCTTAACCCCGCAGACCCTCAGGGCCTGTTTCTTCATCTTCAGAATGGTGCCTTGTACGCTCTGCCTTGTATTGCTGTGTGGATTAAATGGCACTGGAAAGTGCTCCTTTTCCTTTGAGGAAGGACATTGAGGCCATTAAAAAGATCCTGAAAGACATCCATCCTCTGGTTTTTCTTGATCTAGTCGAAAGAAAAAGGGCTTTTTCTCTCAAAGCACTTGTACACTCACTCTCTTTAATGGGCATTTATTGAGCACTACTTGTATGCCAGGTATGGTCATAGGTGCTGGAGCACCAGTGACAAAGACAAAGGGCTCATCCTCGCACAGTTCACTTCTTTTGGGGAGGACAGGCAATAACCAAAGAAATAATCAAAGCATAAATAGCAAAATGTGGTAAGTCCATTGAAGGGCCAGGTGGAGGCAGTATGAGGCAGTGGTGCTGGGGAGGAACAGCAATCAAGGAGTGGCTGTCTGAGAAATGCACTGTTGGCAGAGCCATGCAGAAGTTTCAGGCAAAGGAAACAGTAAGTGCAAAGGCCCTGAGGCAAGGACCTTGCTGTATTGAAGAGTAATGAAAAATTCAGTGTTGCTAGAATAAGATGAGTCTGAGGTGGGCAGGAAACTAGATTATGTTTGGCCTTATGGCCAAGATATACATATGGATTCTGAGCATGAGGAGAAACTGTTGGGGAGTTTAAAGCCCAAGAGTGACCTATTGTGATTAACATTTTGGAAGGAGTCACCCTGGCTTGTTATGGGAAAGTAGATTGTTTAGGGATGAGAGTAGCAGCAAGGAGACCAGTTAGATTACTTGTGGTGGTCCAAGTAGGAGACAGTAGTGACCTGATGAGGGCAGTAGCTGTAAAAGAGGAGTCATCCTAGACATAGTTTCACAGCCTGTTTGGTTTTATTTCTTTATGAAACTATTATCTTTTAATGTAACTGTGATACTTTTATACTTTTGGATCTTTTTATTCACTATGGACTGAGAATTACTCTGTTAGTGACAGTTCTAGAGAAAGCCGTCTCTTGACGGCTCTGACCTCTCTTGCAGTGAGCCTTTAGAAGCCTACATCTATTTTGGCCCCGTGTACTATCAGAAACTGAAACACATGGTGCTGGATAAAATGCATGCCCGGGCCCGGGGACCACGAGCTGTCCTTACCAGGTAAGAGAAGCATTTACCTGATGCGTGATTTCAGTCAGATTGCCTTGCATTGCTCATATGTTGTGGTGATGCTGGTGTCACCACACCCACCACGCTGCCAGTCATAAAATGCATAGCCCATAGAATTACAAGCAGGTCACAGACCTGACAATGCAAGTGGATAGACAATACGTATGAGACGTCAAAATTTGGAGTGTTAGGGATTTAAAGGAGTCATCTCTGTATGACCAGCATGAAAAAGTAGCAGCTGATTAAAAATCCTTTCACAGGTCCAAGAACAACCTAACGCAGATGTTTTCTGTATACCAGTTTGTAATTGCGGCCCTGTCAGGTTCATCTATTAGAATGTGTGTATACACATGACTACTTACATGTCAGTATACCTGCGTGCACCCATGTATACACAGAAAGCATACATAATCTTATCTGGCAGCTGAAATCACAATTGTACTCTTTAAGGAAGTCTCTTACTGGAGCGGAAGGTACTTGGCCCTGGACACTTGTTAAATCAGCTCCAGGAGGGTAGGGTCCACGTGTGCCTGCTTCACCTGGGCCTCCTCAGTTCCAAGCATGATGTCTGGGTTTGGCAAATGGGTAAGTTTGCTGGGAAAGGGGATTATAGTCAGCCCCCATGTCCACAGATCTCTATATGTGGATTCAACCAATCACAAATCAAAAGTATTTGCAAACTTTGCATCTGTGCTGACTTTTTCTTGTCAGTAGTCCCTAAACGATACAGTATTGCATTAAGTATTACAAGTCATCTAGAGGGATTTAAAGCACAGTCATGCTGCATAGCAACATTTTGGTCAACAGTGGGCCACACATACAGCGGTGGTCCATAAGATTAGAGTGGAGCTGAAAAACTCCTATCACCAAGTGAAGTTGTGGCCATTGTAACACCACAGCACAATCGATACTCATAGGTTTGTGGTGATGCTGTTAACAAACCTACCACATATAAGAGTGTAGCCCATACAATTATGTATGTGTCTAGTACATAATACTTAATGATGATAAGCACCTATGTTCCTGGTTTTTGTGTTCACTATACATTTATTATTTTAGAGTGTACACCTACTATTAAAAAAGTTTACTGTGAGCAGTTTTCTGTATTACACCGCAGTAGCCCCATACATCTGGTGTTTACCTTGTCTTTCGATTGCACCTTCATTGCATGTTGTTTTGTTCATCAAGACATCCAGGTTTGTATAACTGTGCTGTGATATTTACACAACAGTGAACTGACCTAACAGTACATTTCTCTGTCCATATTCCCATCGATAAGCAACACATGATTCTCTGTGGAAAGATGTGCATAGGTTACATGGACACATTACGCCATTTTTTATAAGGGCATTGAGCATTGGCAGATTTTGTTATCCACAGGACCCTGGAACCAGTCCCCTGTACATATTGAGGGAGGAAAGTACTGAGTATTGCTTTTTTCCAGTTGAAGGAGCATAGTCTAAGACAGTGGTTCTCAACTGGGATGATTTTTTACACCCAGGAAACATTTGGCAATGTTTGGAGACATCTTAGGTTGTCACAGCTGGGGGGTGGGGAGGAGTATTGGCATCTAGTGAGTAGAGGCCAGGGATAACTGCTGAACATCCTATAGTGCATAGAATGTGTGCCCCTTCCCCCACAAGGAGCTAACCAGCTCACTAAGTCAGTAGCGCTGAGGAAGAAACCCTGCCTGGGAGCCAGATAGATGTAGACAAGGTCTCATGACACTGGTAGCATTATCAAGAGCCTTGAACAGATCACTCTGCTTCTTTCAGCTTCAGTTCTTCTCACCTATAAAGTAGAGGTGATGCCCCCTATTTCATGGGGTGCCAGTAAACACAGGATGTATACAATGCAGATCCATAGGTGCTTGGTAAACACCTGGTTCCCTTCCCTCTGTCACTGAGGATTTCTTACATTGTATATTGCCAGGGCTGGGGGAGGGAGGGAATGGGTAGCAACTAGTGTTTTGGGCTTTTTTTTTTTTTTTTTTAAAGCCATTGAGGAAGTTAGATGACTTGATTGCTTGACCATGTAACAGCAGATGCATATTTCTGTGGAAATAGTAGACATGTGCTTAAAATTGCAGAAAAGGGAAGAGGAGCCAGGATTCTCAGGACAGTAATTATCTCAGCAATGAGACCCTACATGGGTTGGGTGTTGTCCCCTGGATGCTGTCCTTTCTTGAACATTCACATCTATGAGAGCATCCAAAAATATCTCATCAGAGTCTAAGTGGTTATTTCCTTTTTTTGCTTTATTGTGTAAAAGAAACCATTACTTTGGTATCACCATGAGACTGTCTCAAGGGCATTTGTCTATAGCCAGTTATCTCAGGTGGTTAAAATACTAAGTGTTGGATCTTGCCTTCATGTGGGTAATCATTTCACCTTGTTCAATGACTTCAGCTAGATAAAGCATCTACCCACGGGTGGTTCTCCTAACAGATAGGGACTGTACTCAGTGGTGGAATTTCCACTGTAGTATGTTCATTTGTACCTTCTTGTAAAGTTTGTCATGTAGATTTTCTTTTAACAAATAATGTACCACTTACTTAACTTCCCATGGTAACTTCCAACTATAACAACAAAAGCAGTGTTAATGTTTCAGCTATGTTGCAGGCACTCTGTTAACCTTATTAATTCTTTTGGAGTCTGGAAACATCAAAGATGAAAAGGTGCACAGAATAAAGCAAACACAGAGTCTATAGTCCATCCTGCTCAAAGAACACCTCTCCAAAGTGTCATTCCAGAAGAAGCCAGCCAGGAAGCTTCCTTGCTTTTATTTCCCCCACATAAGTTGTGTGTGTGATCAGTTCCTAAATTGTTGAGAATCCCCTTTACCTTCATCTGTTGCTCCTGGATGTTCATTCTCATTCTCATTCATTCATTCATTCTCTCTCTCTCTCTCTCTCTCTCTTTCTTTCTCTTTCTCTTTCTCTCTCTCTCAATCTAACAATAACAGGCTCTGGAGCTCTAACAGGAATTCCTGGAGCCATGTTTCCTCCAGAGTCTGTTCTGCTTTTAAATAGCAGAGTACTGAGACATCGCTGTAAAAAAAAAAGCTCCAAGACATTTCCCCGATTGAAGACTATACTATACTAATAACAACAACGCTGATAACGGTAACGCTTACATTTTCTCATTACACGCTAATATGTTACTGCATATTATAGTAAATATGCAGTTACATTATTTTATTTAGTAACCACAGTATCACACATTTTCTCTCTGGAAGCTCTTTGGAGTAGGTAGTAGTATGCACTTTTCCAAATATGGTGAGAGAGGCTGAGCAGCATTCCCAGGATTCCTGTGTGGTAAGTGGTTTGGCTCCAGGTGAGCCTTGCACCAGTGCCTCGTGCTCTTCATCAGCGTGTGGTGCTGCCTGTCTGCTTAGTACAATAATAACATTTGTCTGATAACTTGTTTCAAAGGCAACCCACTGAAGGGCGATCTCGTGATGGTGGCTTACGTCTTGGGGAAATGGAACGTGACTGTTTAATCGGGTATGGAGCTAGTATGCTGTTGTTGGAGAGACTAATGATCTCAAGTGATGCCTTTGAAGTTGATGTCTGTGGGCAGTGTGGACTTCTGGGGTATTCTGGCTGGTAAGTAGACACTGCATGTCTCTCGTCCCCTGCTTCTTAAGTCACAGCTTGAGGGTTGCCCCTGGATCCTGCCCACGGTCTCCAGTCTTTGCCTGCAATCACTAACATACCCTGCCCCATCCGTGCATCCCTTTGACTGGTACTTCATATGTTCCCGTTTTGTTTGTGTAATGCGCTGCTTTCTACACTACTGGAGTTGAAACTCCCGGGAAATACAGGCTTCATATTCCTTTCATGTTATCGCAAATACATTTTATAACACTATTCACTAATAAAATCCTTGTTAGATGTTAGAATTACAGTCCTCTTGAGAGAAAACTGTGTTAACAGTCCTCATTTGTAGCTTCAGACCCAAAGAGCCAAATAATTGTCCCACATATTAAAGAAAATAGTAACAGAGTTAGGACCAAGACCTGAGGCTCTAGTCTCTTGCTTGTACTATACTTTCTGCCATGGCAAGCTGCGTCACATGAGGACCATACATTCTGTGAGGGCAGAACCATGTCCATCTGTCATTCACTCTGTAGTCAGAATCTGTTCAGTACCAGGTACTCTCCTGGACCCCAGCAATACAATGGTGCATAGAAGGATCAAGGCTGATCACAAAATTCTTTCTGCTAGTTCATTCTATTACATTCTGTCTCATTGACCCCTGCTTCTCCAGCCTGGGCCCTGGTGAGCACTTCATAAAAAAGTAACTGCAATACTTACAGGATTGACCATAAGTAAATTATATAATTTGTAAAGTTTACGGTTTCTATGTAGAGCTTGGTGCACAAAGGCCAGCTTAAGGGCTGATACTCTGTTTTGTGTTTGTGTTTGTATAGTTGCAGAACCTTTTCTATTTGTGGTGATTCCACTCTACCACCAAAGAATAAAAAACTCTGCATAGGTTTAGCCATGATCCAGAGCCCTGAAATCCTCCCATAGACAAGAGAGCCAGTGGTTCCCAATTTCTACCTGCTCCTTTATCAGAAGCTAGCCCTCATAAGGTCTGAGGCAGGTTCTGCAGGGATGGGAAACAGCCACAACACCCTCAGCACCCTTCATCTGCCCTGCCCAGAGTCCTTAGGGAGGGACACTCCTCAAAAGATAGTGTGTGGCTCAGGTGAGCAGCCATTGCTGGGGTTTGAGGAATGCATGAGCCACATCTTCCCCACTGATTCCCCCCCTGTTTCCTTCCAGACAGGGTCTCAACCTCTTGCCACCCTAAGCTGCCAGTTTCTTAGTTGGATAAAAGCAAGTAAAGGTTCAGAACAAGGGGTCTTCTTAGAGCATGGTGTATGCCTTGCCATTCACCTTTCAGTGAATTATCGTGTGATCCTGCTGTAGAAGAGTTGATGAGTCCCGTCTGTAAAGAAATCATTTCATCCTAGAAACAGAAGAGGTAGCCACTTGCATGCAGTTTGTTCTTTTCACAAGCTTGCAGAGATAGGGCGACATTCTTCTGAGAATAAGCCTGGCTCTTTCTTATATCAATGAGATGGGGGTTTGTTTCAGTCTTGAGATGTCTATTCGCCCTTTGAAATGCATATTGAGCTTGCTTTTTGTAGTCTGGGCTGTGTAACTAAAAGAAAAAAAAAAAGAGCATAATAGGAAGATGTCTGGAACCTAGTTCCACTATGCTTAAATCTTCAATGTGGCACAAGAATTTTTAAGTAATTGACTTTGCAGGTATGGTACCAGAGTCATTTCATTAAAAATAGAGGTCATAACAAAAAGTTTCATTTTCTTTTCCTCCTGTTTGCATTCCACTACCACCACCACTGAAAGAAAAAGAAAACAGTAAACAAGTTCCACTTGTACCCTTTGAAACCTCCCCCTCTCTTCCGTTGGCTTCTCAGGTAGATAGATGGAAACAGGAAAAGTGCTGCACAGCATTATTCTGTTACATTCCTGTCATCTTTTCTGCTTCGCTTCTGTGTCAAATACACATTGTCTGGTGGCCATGTCTGATTTCGAAGCTCATATATTCTGTGTGTATTCTATGTGAAATCCTTTGGAAGAGACTTAGGTTATACAGTTTGAGGGGCTTTACAGTAATTAGACCTTAATACACTGTATGTCTGATTTTGAGTGTCCTACTTACACCCTTGTTGCCAACAGAAAAAAATCCTAATCCATTCTGTAGTCTAGCTGCCTCCTCACACACTACTTTCTGGCTGAGCAGCATAATAATGATGCTGTCATTTTTCCCATCATTACCTGATCGTGTGCCTGGCCGAGTGGAAGGGGAGCCAGTGAAGGCCTTGGTTGGAGGAAGTCGTCCTTTAATGAGCAGCACAATGAGGCAGGGTAATTAGAGCAGTTCAGAACCTTGGAGCGGGCCTTTGTGGGCGATTTGCACGTTAGTAAGACATTGCTATGGGGAGGTTTACAGTAAGACTGTTGTTCCTCAGAGGACATGGAGGGCAGAAGTCACAAAAGAGAGCTCCTATTAAGATAATTAGCTCATAGAGAATATTTCTCTGGACAGTCATTTCTCATGTGAGGCCACAGCCTGCTCTTGCTGCCTTTGTCCTAAAAAATCAGTTTATTGTGAGATCGTTTTGGATATGTCTGTGTATATTGTGTATTTGTTGAAATGCAAGGTATCCAGTTCCATAAATGCTACATATATATAAACATTTTAAATGATGGAGAACTAGTTAATGATAGGGAAGATTAATGGACTATTTAAATAATGAATAGCACATATGGAAATTTTAAATAGATTAGCTTGCAGTGGAGTCATAGTGTAAATATACTAGACAGGCGATCCAGCAAGAAGTTACCCCAGTTCGACCTGTTTCCCCAACTTAACTAAAGCACAAGTACAATTGCTGAATAAATTATTCACCGAGGCACATTAAAAACAAGTCTTCAACTTGAATGCATTAAAAAGGTCTTTAGGCAGTCATTAAGAAAAGTTCATATGATTACTGAAGTTTGTATTATTAGTAATATTAATACTGTCAATGAACTGAGTTCCCAACAGTATCTAACACCAAGCTGCCCCTGCCTTCTACCGTCACATGTGGCCAGGGTGCCTCCATCTCCCATTCTGCCTCCTTGAGAACTTCTAGCTCTCCATATGTGCTCACCACCACACCAAATTCTCAGTCTCACTGCTTGCTTTTCTTTTCTAAAGTAATAAAATTTTACTTTTCTGGATGTAGAAATGATCCTTGCTCAATGTTAAATATTCAAAACTTAACAAAAATTGAAAAAGTGACAGTCACAGTAACTCCTACCACCCAAAGATGACCACTGTTAACATTTTAGTGACTCTTCCTTGGGACATCTCTGATTGCTTGTAGTTCTTTGATTTTTTACTTTTTTTAAAAAAATCCTTTCAAGATTCTGACAAGAACAGAAAATGCAAATATGCACATTTTAAAAGTCTTTAGAAACTTTATATGTGATTTTGGGGACTCAGAAACCCATCTGAGGGCTCCGTTGGAACCAAGATATTAGCGAGCAGCTTTTTTTCACAGACAATGACCTGGACATCTTTTGTTTCAGTAAATATACTGTCACGTTGAATGGCTACACAGTATTCTTCTGTATAACTGACCTACAATCATAGAACCAATGCGTATTGGGCATTTGAGGAGTCTCCTGCTTATGCTTTTACAAATAATACAGCTGTGAACATTTTTTGAGGTCCTATTTTTGTCTGAAGCCTGGAAGATTCTCCCCAGGGAATCTTCTTTAGTTATAGTCATGAATTAGAACCTAAATTCAGTTCCCTGGCCCTTCCTGAAGGAAGAAAAAAAATGCTAAATGGAATAGCTAGGATATTGGTTAGGAGCCTGGGCTGTCGCAGGGATTAAGTGGGAATATGTGCAGATGCACACACACATATACACACACACATTTCTTAGTTTTGCACAAGGGACAGCCTGCTGTAAGTATAGGAGCTTCCAGTACTAATAGAAATACCCAAGCCTGAAGAGCATACCTTTCAAACCTTAAATATCTTAATGACAGAAACCAAATTATAATTATTAAGCATCTTACTTAGAATAATGTAATAGTTTAGTAAATGCATGTCAAACACGAGGTTGATTGCATCTGAGTATATCTCTGATGGTTCATAGGCAGGTGTTTTGTGTTTTAGAGAAGGCCTAGAGACGTGGTAGCAGCTGACTCAAGTCGCCTGCTTTCAAAACTGGGGAGAGTCATGGTGTTTGTCCTAGTTTGTTTTTTGTTTTTTTGTCTTTTGTTTTGTTTTGCTTCCCTGGATGTTCCTTGGCACATATGAACATACTTGATAACAGGACTGACCACTTAGAAACAGAAAAACCAGTGATGTGACAGTAGACCTTGGTAGAATCCTCTCTTGCTGTGTGTAGGCCTTCGTTTCTGAGCTGCTGTCCCTCTGACACATGCTGACTTGGGTTTCAGGTGCCACTACTGTAAGTCCTCGTGCCATGTGTCCTCCCTCCGCATTCCCTACGCCTGCAAGCTACTCTTCCAGGAGCTGCAGTCCATGAACATTATCCCCAGGCTAAAACTGTCCAAGTACAATGAGTGAGGAACGCACAGAAGACCGGGTGACCAGGCAGTGCAGCGGGATGCTGAAGGGATTGAAGACCCTTTCTACTCCTGTGAATGACTTCTGGGATTATTTTATCTCAAAAACAAAACAAAACTGATAGAGAAGCTTTTTGTGTTCAGAAGACTAATTGGACAACTTGATCAGTGAGCCTTGGACCATGGAGAGATGCCAACAACACGGAATGGACCACAGGACATGACTTAGAGAATAAATCTTTCTTTATGCTCTGATATCTTGAAGTTTACCTATTAGAAAGGCCTCCCTCCATAAGAGAGCGCTTGGGTTTAAATTCCCCATGGTATCTTCAGGTTAACAAAAGCCCAGATTCTCTTGAGACTTGTGAATGTAAACCATCGCTCGAATTGGTTGGCGTGGCATTTGTTGGGGTGGCTGGTCCTGAGTGGTGTGTGGAGGAATGAGGACTGCGTGAAGCTGACATGGCAGCAGATGAAGCAGTGGCTTTCATGTCTGGCCCTGTGAGGGGACACATTTTCCCAACAATTAAATCTTGCCTTTATACACCCAAACTTTGTGGTTTTAATCTTGTTGAGTATAATCAATATATTCCTACCTGGTTGAACAAGAATGACATCTTTTCTTACAGACTCAATCGCAACTGTTTTGAACCTCCATAATCAGACCATAAGATAATAGTAAGTACCTGAATCTAACTCCATGCACACTTTGTCATATTGTGTTCCTTCCACTCCTACCAGGATGTTAGTTGTCCATCCTCCTTTTTAATCTGACAGCCTTCCTTATGCATTTCTAGTTTGTTCTTAACTGCTCTGCCTAGAAGCCAGATAAATATTTGCATTAGGATTGTTTATAAAGTAAGTCAGAGAAGCTTTAAGTAAAGATCTAGGGCTACATCCCCAGTGTCACGTTGAAAATGTTCCACAGAATATTAATAGGTGTTACACACCAAGAAGAATCAAGCTCCAGTGTCAAAATAAGGCTGAGAAACTGAGTTTAACCAAGTTAAACGTGCCACAGAACTTTTTCAAAACCTTTGTTTACCTCAGGCTATTGTTTAATAGGTCCCTGCAAAACTGGTAGGAGGCTAGTCAGTGACTTGAGGACTCAACCTCACTTCATTTTCTTCACAATAGAGGTGCTGTAGAAGTCAGAAAGACTTCTCTGTCCCCACAGAAGGAAGGCCACTTCACAGGTGGGCAGGCCCTCCTCAGCCTTCCCTTCAGGGACTCCCTCCATGGGCATTGCAGAGGCAGACAGGTTTGATCTTCACCATTCCGGTTGTTCCTTCCTTTAGTCTAGCTTTATAGTTCTCAAAATTGATGTTGTGTGGAGATTACTCTTGGATTGTGTATACGATCATACTGTGCTTTATGGGCTATTTAGGGAGTTTTCCAGGGTGATCTTGACTCTGGTTATGTGGCAACTGCACTTACCAACTCCATCAACGATGCAGTGCCCCACAGTATGTAGCACACCCTGTCAGTGAACACTTGAGCGTTTGGAAAGAATTATCATTCAGTACTATGCGCTACAAAAGTAAGAAGAGAGGAGGAAGCCGAGCGCCAGTGGCTCAGGCCTGTAATCCTAGCTACTTGTTAGGTAGAGATCAGGAGGATCATGGTTAGAGGCAGCCCTGGCAAAAAGTGAGACCCTATCTCAAAAATACCCAACACAAAAAAGTATTGGCAGAGTGGCCAAGTGGTAGAGCACTTGTCTAGCAAGTGCGAAAACCCTGAGTTCAAACCCCAGTACTGCCAAAAACAAGGAAGAAGAGAGCAGTGGTCAGTGCTGAGGATGAGCCCATCAGAGTCACAGGAGTGTTAGGGCACACTGACAACATGCATTCAAGACTTGGAAGCACTTCACAAGTATGGTTATTCCCTTATTGCAGCTAAAGAAACTGAGGCAGTAAGTAGCCAAAGGACTCCCCAGCACCACACCACTCAAGGGAAAGGCAACAGCTTTGACAGGCTTCCTCACTTAGGAGACTTTGTTTTAGTTTTATCTATGATTCTATTTGTGAGTCACCAAAAGTGACATTTTTTTTAAAATACTGTATTTTTTGTTGTTTTGTGGTGCTGGGAATCAAACTCAGGGCCTTTTGCATGCTAGGCAATTGCTCTGCTGAGTTACATCCCCAACTCTTTTATTTTTATTGATAAACATCTTTTCTGGAAAACCTTTCCAGGCCATTCTTATCATTTTGAGGGAAATCACCCATCCTAGGAAATCTTAAGTTCACCAAGTTTACAAGAGTTAGAAAGTATGGGATCCAGATTGAGACGTCCATAGGGAGAAACTTCTGTCAGGTTGGTATTTGAGAAACTAGCAGATACTACACTGGAATGGTTGGTTGTCTCTGAGAAATACTTGAACAAAAAGAGGTCAGAGGGGCTGGGGATGTGGCTCAGGGTAGAGCCCTTGCCTGTCTGGCATGCCTGAGACCCCAAGTTCATCCCCAGCACTATAAAACAAAGAAGAAGAAAAAAGAATTGGCAATTTAGTCCTATAATTTTATTTTTTTAAGTTATTCTAAGCTGCTTGTTTTAAAAACTACAGTTAGGTTTCCATTTCTAGTAATGATGGAGTCACATTTTACCACTCAAAAGGCATTTTTTTTCCCTTCTGAAGGCTTTTGCTAGGGATGAGGCTAAGAGCCTATGACCTTGACATGAGCTTTGGTAGAGTCAGTGGGGCAGACACCACAGTGGGCTCACAGTTGCCAGAATACCCTGACTACAGAGGCAAAACCCCAAATGGAAAGGCAGGTCACGGGGATGAGTTCAGCTTCTCCACTTCTCCCATGGATTTGTTGGCTGGGACTGCCATGGCAGAATACCACAGCTGGGGTGATTTAAACGGCCAAAACTTATTTTCTTACAGTTACGGAGACTCAAAGTCCAAGATGAGGGTGTTGATGGGCTGGACTCAGGTGAGGGCTCTCTTCCTGGCTACTGCCAGCCACCTTCTCCCTGCACCTTCTCACATGGCCTTTCCTTGATGCACACAGGTGACAGCAAGCTTAGGTGCCTTAGGTGATTGGTGTCTAACTGGATTACAGTCCCCTTCCTCTTTTCATTTAATCTTAATTACTTCCTTAAAGGCTCTGTTCTCCAAACAGCCACACTGGTGGTTAAGGCTTCAACATGTGCATTTTGAGGAAACAGTTCAGTCTATTTCCTGAACTATTTCAAGGATTTGCCATTTCATAACAGCACAGGCTGAACCGTTGGCTATACCTATTAAAGCCAAAATGCACAGCATTTCCATCCCCAGATCTGTGTCCAACAGAAATGTGTACTGTGTGTTATCAGTCTGTGTGCACAAAAATGTTTCTAGCACTATTATTCGTGACAGCCTCTATTGTAAATAACTCCTGCCCAATAACAATAGAATAAATACAATTTAATCCCATTGTATTTAAATACAATGGGATATTATATAGCAATAGAAACGATTACAGCTACATATAATTTCATGGATAACCTCCTAAATATGGTATTGGGCAAAAAAACCCAAAAGATTCCTTGTAAGTTCAAAAATAGTAAGAATTGATGTATAAGAAGTCATGAGTTCCCCATGCAGAGGAAGATTGATAGCTGAGGGGTACAAGAGGGGACTTACAGGGTGCCGGTAATATTTTTTTAACTGAGTACTACTTACACAGTTGTTCATTTTATGAAAGTTCACTAAGCTGTATACACAGGTTTTTCACTCTTCTGAATGTTATTCTTTAATAACTAAACCTACGAGATGAGTAAGTGGTTAAGAATATGGGCCCCAAACCTGAGCTTGGTCTCTTCACTTTACAGATATATTACCTTAAATATAATATATTGTCTTTGCTCTTTTTGTTTTCCCATATTCAGAACAGAACTGTTATACCAGCACCTAAGGCTCTTTTTGAGATGAAATGAGATAAACAGCTTTGCATTTACAAATGTCTGTCTTGTTTCCATTGTATCCTACACCCTAGAGCAGCCCTCCCTCCATAGAGCGAGCTTCAGGCAGAGTGAGGACAGGCAAACCAGGGCTCCTTTGGAGAAGGAAGTTTGGAAACTGGGATTGAGCACAGAAGCCATAGAGGTTTTGCAAACAGTATTTGGGACAAACACCCAGTTTATCAGCGACAAGAAGGAAGGACAGTCGTGGAGTTAGAGAACACACTTCCACTGACATCAAAGCGAGACCTGCTGTTGGCCGGCCAGTCCCAGCTTAGTTTCCTGCAGCCCACAAAACCAGTTCTCAAAACGCTTCCATGTGGGGAGAGTCAAGTAAAGGATTGTTTTTTAAGTCCTTGATTGGGTGCTACATAATGGGATAGTTTTCAGCTGCTTTGGAGCATTTTTGGCCAACACCTTTATTTGCAGTAATGAGTCACATGGGAGAGAACGCGCCAGGGCTGGTGGCTGGCCCATTCATCCCTAGCCTTCTAAGTAAGAGGGAAGCCGGTTTCTCAGAGACCTGTAAATAATTCCATTGTGAAATGGATGGTCAGAAAAGTGACTGTAAAAATAGCACCTCTTTACCGTCCATCCGTCCATATTTACTCCATATGTGTCTTGAAAACTATTTCATTTGTTGACTGAAAGTTGGATTTTTACTGCACCAGCCCACACAGCCAAGGTTGGTGGGAAATTAAAGGCACACTTTAAAGAGGAGGTTTTAATGGGAGGAAAAGAGTGACAGTCTGGAAGTATGTACTGTTTGTTACCAAAACCAAGCCACCAATTTGACTTCAGACACGGGCTCCAGAAGCAATTAAGAGATTTGCTTTGGCAAATGAATTTGTGATCAGAATGTCATGGCAGAACATTTCAGAACGACCTGCAACATTTCCACTCACAAGCCTAATGTTTCACCCCATGGTCAAAGGAATTAAAGTGTTTTCAAATCCAGGTAATAACTGCTGTTCCATGCACAATTAATTTTAAGTCTGGTTTACTCCCCACCATCCACATACGGAGATAAGGAGGGGTATGAATAAAGTAAAACAAATGGTGAGTCCAAATCCTTTGCGCTGGATACTGGGATAAAGTTTTCACTCACACTTTTGATACATCTTAAGTGGTGTCATGATGAATCCGCCATACTTCAAATAGTGATTCCTATGGACCCTGTTTGAAGAAACTAGAATAATAATAACACCTTCTCAGGTTAAAGTAATGATGACATCTTTGGGAGAGTAGGGTAGCCTGACTCAATTGGGATGCTTGCAAGCCAGTGGTTCTCAAAGTGCGGTCTGTGGAACCAGCAGCCCAAACCTACAGACATCGAGAACCAGTGTGGGGAGAGCCCAGCAATCTGTTTCATCAAGCCCTCCACGTGCTTCTAATGCAGCCTAAAATTTGAGATCCAGGGTCATAAGCTGTGAGAAGAACTTTACATCCCACCCTGTCTTAGATCTTTTGGACCTTTAGGGGGAACTGGCCTCCTGCTTTTCTTTCTCTTTTTCAAGGCATGACTTCCCCTTAAGCAGCATATTCTATTGGCCTGACTTCCCACAGGGCCTTGACCTCACTGCACACTTGGGCAGGTGCCTG